TAACTTTGTCAAATGTTATGAAATGACTCATCTTTGTCAATTTTTTTTTTACATCATGAAAACCTGGCATTTAAATAGGGGTGTGTAAACTTTAAAAAAAAAGTAATCCTTTTGTTGTTATTATTATTTTGAATACAACTGTGGCTCATTGAAAAGCTGAGAACTGTCTGTGCGGCGTTATGTGCTTGACTTTGAAATGAAAAAATATACACAAAATGTCATGACTGATCAGTTTTTCAAACAATGAAAAGAAGATGAGGAAAATATATACATATATATATATTTTTTTTACAAAATTCAATAATAAATCCAAAGGGTGCTTTTAAACACCTACCCTTTTTACATTCACTAAACCTCCCCCCAAAAAACAACAACAATAACAGCTTCAGTTCAGTATTAGTTAAAAAAATGACAAGCACGTTATTTCTTATCATGTCATCTTTTTACTGTATTGTTACGATTTTTTTGTTTTCATCTGCTGCAAAAATAGTTCCAGATTCAATCGTTTTCTTGAGCCTATTCAGAGTGCAGTAGTACGTTTATGAACATTGTTTTGGTAAACATGGCAGAAAGCAGGTGCGTACACAGATATGCACTACCAAAGACGTAACATGGAATCTGCATCTAGATGACGCGAAGGAATGGTTGCGAGTAGCCTATCGTTCAGGAAAGCAGCGGTTGCGTTGCATTTTGGGATTTGTGCCGGAGTAATCACACCATTAAAAAGATTTTGTGAGGTGTTAGGGAATCGGTAAAAAAGGTCGTTTTCCCACATGCTTTGCCGTGACAAATCTCATAATGGTCACACTTCATTTTGCTATCATGCCTCTTTGACGTGTAATTTTTTTCAGACATGATTTGATAGTCGTTTTTTCCTAGTCGCGTACAGTTAAATTATTGCCACTTTTGACGGTGGTGAATCTGGCACCGTAAGTAACAATCTTGATACGAGCCACATTCTGGTCTCTTGCAGCACCTGCATGTTTTTGTCTGATATGAGGTAGTTGTTGATGAGAACAAACAAAAATGCCATATGTTGCTATTCAACAAATTGTTTGGCATGGGAGCTGGGGTAATTTCATCATGTACAAAAACATTTGCTTCTTATATAGGAGCATGCATGGTTCCGCTCCTCTTCCACTATCCAGTTTTATAACATTCAAATCCCCTGCTACCAGAGGTGCAGCTAAAAAAGACTTTATAAGTCTAAAAGAAGAGAAATCAGTCAAGGAGTATGCAGAGCTTCACACCAATGAAATACAGTACCACAACCAATCAGAGCGTTTCTATCAAATCATCCTTTTAGAGCGAATGCAAATGATTATCTTGTTGTTGCCCGGATATGTAAACCCTAGGAGGACTACTATGAATTGTTCTTACATATCTTTTATGATTATTTTTATTCAGTTATTTATTTGCACTTACAGGGATACGCTTCAATTACCCAAGATCTGAATGACGACGAGCCATATACTGCATAGAGTAAATCTTTACATTTAGATTTTAGGGATGATTGATGACTTTGGGCAAGAAGCAGGCTACATTGTTGACAGGCAAACACAGGGCAAGACAAGCATTTACACTTGCATTCACACCTTTGTGCAATTTGGAGTTTTCAGTCAACCAAAGCTGCATGTTTTCCCGATTTGGGAAGAAGCCGGTGTATCCAGAAAGAAACGCTCCCAAACACATGGAGAACATACAATACAAGCTTCAATCAAGATACGAAACTTTGCAACTGGCCATCAGCTATTTTGGCTGTCTTGTGTATAAGGTAGTGAGTTGTGAAAACAACTGCCCATCGAATTCTCTGAATGCAAAAAGCCACATTGGCACAAAAATTCAATGAGTTCTATCTAACCACACATTTCCAAAGATCATCATGTTATTTTGTTCTCAATGACTAACTCTATGTAATTAGTTGAGATTTTCAATTGGCATATGGAATTCACAGTTAGAAATGTAACAAGCTGAAATGTGCCTGCCACCCCACCCCCAATGCGGTAATGAAGATGTGATCTTCCTGTGCAGGCTGATCAGGCTCCATCAAATGGCCAAGGAGCAGATAAAAGCAACCACTACAGCATTGGCGAGCTGGCCACGTCCTCTCTGTTAGGTGAGACCGCACGCACATTTATGGCGACAACAACAAGCTGAGCTTCAACCATGAATCCAGCGCGCGATGTGTGAAATGATATTAGTAACCATGGGAGCATGGTAATGCTATTTGCTTCCTCTGTGCTGTATTTATATGCATGCACACTACTACTCTCATTTTCATAGAGAAGCGGACAAATAAACATTCAAGTATGATGGGCTGCTGTACTGGTCTCAGCTCAGCTGCGTCCCTCTTTTCATCATCATGCACTGTTTCCTCACTGAAAGCTCCATTCTTAAAGCCAAATTAGAAAGGGCAGAAAAATGTTTTGCACAATACTGGATCGGGCCGGCCTGAGAAGAGCGAAAATGTGCAGACCTAATTGATGACCTTTATGTGGTATACATGTTTAATCCAAGAAGTTCTTCAAATAAACCAGGGAAAAACTTGCAAATAGTGTGTTCCATGAAAAACCTGGTTGCCTCCTGCCCTCCCAAAAAATATCAGGAAACAGGCAAATCTGCAAGCGACATGGGGCATTCACTGTCCTCGATAAATAAGGGCAATGAACACATGAATGTACAAAGTGATGACAGCAATGCCATTAAGATTGCTAATCCAATGAAGCCTCGGGGACTCTCACTACTAAATTTCACTATTGAAGTTTTAACTTCAATTAAATCATGAGAGATCATTATTTTTTCTATATTCTTTTGGATTTTTTTTTTTTTTTTTTAATGAGGGCAGTCTTGTTCCTTCTTTCAGGGCGTTACCACACCTTAATGGCATTTCCTTTCCATATTATCTCCATCCTTCCTCTGCTTGTACATCTTTATTTCATTTCCTTTATCAAGATGTATCCCGCCCTATTTAGGTCTTGTGGCCACGATAAAGGAGCACATCACCAAGCCCACGGCTATGGCTCAAGGGCGAGTGGCTCACCTGATTGAGTGGAAGGGCTGGGGAGGTGGCGGCGAGGCCGGAGCGGGTGTCGGCGGTTGGAGCGGAGGCTGGGCTCGAGGAGGCGGAAGCTGGGGCCCCGAGGAAGATCAACAATTTTACTCCCAAATGACAGATGAGATCAAGGAAGCTCGCTTTGCAGCCGGTGAGTCAGAAGAAGGAATTCAATAAAGAAGGAAAAAAAGAAATCCATGTGGACGTTGTTTTTGTTCTCAGGCCAACACAATCAATTTCGCTCTCAGGGACAATGACTCATGTAGAAAAAAAAAGATAACATGTTTGTGTGCAGGAGTAGCAGAGCAGTTTGCCTTGGCTGAAGCTGCCATGAGTTTTTGGTCCTTGAACGACTGCTTTGAGCAACCTTCGACCAGCCTGCAAGGTCGGTTGTCATTGGCATGTGCTGCTGGCATTTCTTCTTTTTGTGATGACGATCTAATTCCACTCAACAGTCCCCAGAGAAGTTTCTTAAAGCTCCCTTTCCAAAAAGTCAGCAATTTTTATGCACTATAGAGGCAATATAAGAGCTTTTATAACATGACATTGGTAATCCATTTACGCATCGATGTGGGAATAACGTATATTAAAGAGAATTTCCGCCCAATTTTGCTCACAGTGTCAGTCCTTGCATTCCAAGGGTGTTCGATGTGCTTATTCTTCCACCCCAAAGTCATCCTAGCATGGATGTTGCTTTGCTGTCATGATGGAAGAGGAAAAGGAAATTCCACAAAGCAACCATCGAACTACCCAAAATGTCTTGCAAAGATCAAGAGTTCCTCTTCAAAATAGCACTGCAGGAAGTGTCAAATGTCAAAAGAAAGAAAACGCCACCTATGCGCACGGGTGGCGTTTTCTTTCTTTTGACATTTCCATAGACAAGTACAGGTAGAAATAGGCGTTTGTGCTGTTGTGGGAGTGAGCAGAGTTGCAAAGTTGGGTTGATTTTCTAAGTTTTGACTGTTGCTCGTCCCATTCCTTGCCAGGGGCGCCGCAAAGCCACCTTTTGTCTGGTTTCCTGCTGGATGACGCAAGCGCCAGCATCCCGCAGTACCTGCACAGCATCCACGCCGAGACGCATGGCGAGAGCCAGCTCAGCGGCCTGGTTGCCCCCAAACCTCCATCCATGGCCTCCCCTAAACCGCAGAAGAATTCTACCAGCGAAGATAAATGCGGTGCAGTCACCACAGAGGCTGCTGTGCGACACATAGACAGCAGCTCACTCTCTGAGGATGATGTGTTTTATAATTAAATACCTTCACATTGCAATTGTAGTGGTGCCTTAAGATATGAGCGCGATATGGCTACAGTGAACTCAACTAACTTAACATTAAGCAGCAGTTTGGCAGAGACCAAACCGGTTTTCAAAATAAGAGGTTTCAAGTTGTTAGTGCAAATCCCAGTTGAAGTTGACAGTCAAATTCAACCTAAGAGATTTATACATTGTGTATTTAAAACAACCCCATAGCTTTGTCTTTGGAAAGTCCGCTTAGTTTAATACACTTTTTCAGCATGTGAGCTACTCATAAAACAACCAAGTGAAAATGATCTGCCCACTACAAAAATGCAAAATCTATAATTATTTTCAACTGTATTGCGAATTCTTTGTATGTACAGTACAATGTATGTTGGTGTACCTCGCATAATCGAATGAGTCAAAATTGCACAACACACATAGTAATTAACTATTAACATTTTTTGTAATTACCCGAGTCTATTATTTGGTCAAAATTCAGTTGTCACCTGACTGGTTACCCTGTACATCAATCAAGTGACAGGATGGATAATAGACATCTATTTTTTTTAATGTCAGGCTGCGATCAACCGGTAGATCGCGTTCAATGTAATGAGCACCCCTAGTTTAAGACTTGCAAACAAGTCCAAACTCCCTGGATGGGCTAACCATCCACCAACCACCATTTAGGTAATGGATATATGAATGCAAATTGTGTTGCAACACAATGAAGACAGACAATTTAATATGCTTACATTATTTATCCTCTGCAAAGAATGACTTCATATTACTGGCAGCTTATTGAAGAGCCGATACGGACTCCATGAATGGTACCTTATACTCATATGTTTGTATTACACTGCAGGTGGCCGAGGTGCGCAAACCAAAAGGAACAGCTCAATGTCCACTAAACTGAAGCAAAACATGTGGCAAAACTATATTTGAATTCTTTACATTCTATTTCATTACATCATTACTTTATGTGTAAAATATTGAGGGGCACAATTATCTGAACATTTGTATTGATTTTATTGGGAGCCTGGAGCCGATTAATGACATTTCTATTCAATTCAGTGGGGAAAGATGAATTGCGATATGAGTATTTTGCATTCCGAGCGTGGTCAATGAAACTCGTATCTCAAGGCATCACTGTACTGTATCTGGGTTTGACCAAGAAAGACTCAAGTTTAACACCAGCAGTGAAAATAACTTCATAGAATTGCCCACCTGGAAAAGATTTGTGAATGTATAGTTGCTTCGCTATATTGAACTTTTCTATTCATTGTACATTAGATATATTTTATTGTATGTTGACCTGACAGCCAATGGGAAGTATAGTATTGTGTAATTATCTTGGTATAAAACCACCTGCGTGATTTGCTGCTCCTTGCTTGTTTTTGGTCATTTGCTCTTTCACACTGAGTGAATGACAATCGGCACGAGATGTCTTTGGGACATGAAATTGGCTACCAGAGTTGGCATGTGCAATCGCAGAGAAGAAGCCGTATCGACGTACAGCCATTGATGTGCGAACAGTGAAGAAGTTGTAATTCTGTGTTCATTACTTATTCATATTTGTGAAAATGTATTCATCGTGGCAATAGTCAGGTACTGTGCAATCATATAAACAGCTCTTCCACATCACCACACTGGTGAATTTAAAGTGGATGAAGTAGTGCTCAGGCTCTTTTCTTTTCTTTTGTTTTTTTGGTTTGCATTAGATGCAAGTTTAATACAGGTTAGTGAAAAGGTCAGGCATGTCTGTTTCTCCTCAGGACGCCTTAGATTTCTTTGGCCAAGTCTTCTAAAATTCTCTTCATCTGGAGAACAAAACACACTTGTCTTGATCCACATGGCAAGAGGACATATGAGCCCGAGCGTGCACAAAAGTTACCTCAGACCAGGTGACCCGCCCAAGCAGCCTTCCTCTGTCAGTGACAAACACAGTCTGCCCCCCCGCAAGTCTCAGGATGCTTAAAGCCTGAAAGAAACATTGGGATTCTTCCCTAAATAATAGTAGTTCTCAAATTCAGTCAAATTAAAGATTTGAAAAGAACGTCTTGGGCAACGTCGTGAGTCGGCATAAAGACCCACTAATGGAAATTTTGCAGATGAACGAAGCCCAGCGGATCCGCCAGAGGGAGAGCAGCGTGGGTGTGGAAGTGGTTACAGCCAACTTCGATCATGTCCAATCAAAGCACCTCTTTAATTCTTGTTGAAGGTGGCATGCTAGTTCAGCACTAGAGACTCGACATGGTGGAAGCACATCTGCACCCGCCCGTTCATTTGCCCCCTTCATCATTGTGCAGCTCAGTGGAATGATTTGAAAACATATTTTACAATGGTTCAGAGAGTTTGATGCCCGATGTTCACATATTTACCAGTGTTCTACATTGAGCCTGTGTTAGACGTGGCCTGAGACGGTGTAAGGTTTCGATCAAATATCTGTCACTCAATTGTCATTTTGGCAGGCGCATCTCCACGACGCTCCTTCTGGTGTGCTTGCCCCCCCAGCTTTGCAGAGATCAGTCAAACTGGCGCACACGTGCCTTGTGCCGATATGAAAATCAGGATACATCGACTAAAAAAAAAAATAGAGCCTCGAGTATGGAAGAAGTGTTCCCTATGAATGAACTCACACATCTACATGAATATTCGCCAAAAGCGTTAGAGTAGATCAAAGGAGGAAAACACGCCTGCATCTCCATGCTGAGGTTCTGGGTTCAAATCTCAGCTCCAGCCTATGTGGAGTTTTGAAGTTCTCCTATACACCTGCTTTTACCCACATCCCCAAAACTTTGGTTTTAGTAAAGACTATTGTCTATAAGGGTAAATGTGAATAGTTTGCATCACGAATAAGTAATTGTGATTGTGCAGCTTAATCTGGTGCACACCTTGGCCACCAGGGGCCCAATAAACACATAGAGACATATGGTCACTCACTAGTAAGCCTCAATAATTGTCATTTGTTTTACAGAAGATAAAGAAAATACACTTGAGTATAAAATTGTATGTCTACACCTGCTGCACCATCATTTGTGTTCATGAATTTGTTGATTGAAGGGACAGAGCACGTCAACACAGATGTGATTCGTTCGTCCTGAACTGGCTGGCAGCCAATCGCAGAAAGCGGAATGTCTTGAGGCATTTAGCTATGTGGATGTTTAAATTACAAAACAAGCAATAAACAGCTTGAAGCCTCTTTTTTGAAGAATTGTTCACTCTCTACCAAACTGCCACCAAAAGGCACTCGGATTGCAAAGCAAATCAAAATGTCCACACAGAAAATGTGGCTCAACGATGGTTTGTGTCCTTAAAAACCTCTAAGTTGGGTCATTTGTATCTAAAGGCACTATCATGCTTCCTTCTATCCTCATTTGTTTTGCATGATTTCCTTACGTCTGTACTGTACTGCTTTTTATGAGAGTACAGAAAATAACTTTTGGGCCACACAGGTGACAGTACATAAATCAGAAGTAAAACAAACATTTGCTGTATGATTTGGAATTGTCATACATGGTTGACTTGCTTTATTAATCCCAAGTGAATTATTTAATGAAATGCAATAATTATAATAATGATCTTCTCACCTCCTGAATGGTGTTGTGAGGACACAACAGGGCAAAAGAAGGTTGAATGCTGCATACCTCCTCTAGATGCCGATCCACTCTCTGAACAAGGACCAAAACATGAAAAAGTTCAGACTTTTTAATTTGTTTTTTCTGAACAATTGTGTGACTGATGAAGGTTTTGAGAGATGAGAGTTTGTGTGTCCCAAAAGTCATAGTGGGAAGAGAGGAAGAAATAATTACTGGCCTTTTTTGCAAGCGTCAACCAATGGCGTGATCTCAAAGCATTCACATTGTTCAGCTGTCACGATTCAGTGAACCTCTACCTATTGGATATTTAAAAATTCCCCTAGTCGCATTTTTCTTTCCTGGGGAACCCATCCTTAGCCAGTTGCTAAAAAAAAAAAAAAATCGACTGTTTGTGGTTTTGTGGTATTTCTGTAACGCCCGAGATGTCGCACAACAGCACCAAAGGCTTCACTAAACAGAAAAGAAGAATTAGTGTCAAGGAAACATGTTGAAGTGCTCCATCTGACTTAAGAACCAGTGTTGCACTGTAATGGGGGAGGAGCTAAGTTTGGCCTGGGTTGTTAGTGGCATTTCAGTGACTTTTTTTTAAATCAAATAATCTGGAAGCCTTAGCTTTCTAAAGGGTAATGCTGCAATATGACTGACATGCTAAACTGTTTTGGCATCATAGTTTGTAACGTACTTAGTTTTTCAGCAATTAATAGGGGCAATTCTATTTTTATTCACTGACTTAAAGTTTACAGTACTACGAGACTGTTCACAGTCACCCATTTCTTGCTATGAAATGGTTTGACGTATTAAGCCTCAATGCGGTGCTCATGGTTCTATCTTTTCGAAGACAATCTTTCCGCATGCCCGAGCCAATTGTGAGCTTATATATTGAATTAACCATCAACGCTTTTTTGCTTGAATCAGCTCATTTTGCCTCGGCTCGCTCTTTTTGTGTTCTATACCAATAGTGAATGTGAGTGTGTGTGTGTGTGTGTGTGTGTGTGTGTGTGTGTGTGTGTGTGTGTGTGTGTGTGTGTGTGTGTGCGCGCGTGCATATACAGTTTTACCTGGGAAATGCCACATTGACGCAGAAACATCAGCAGCTGTGATCGCGTGACAAAGCCCAGCAATGTGGGTGCCTCTTCAAAGGAGAGAAAAGCACATCCATGTGAAAAAGAGTTGGGCCAACCAAGGGATGAAAGATTACTCAGTGAATTTCTCTCCATTATGAACAACCATTAACATCCTTCCCAGAAGAGCTCTTTCATCACAAAACAACAACTAAAATTGTACCATATACAATTATCTTTTCCGTTCACAATCTGTTCAGACAAAAACTTTTCAGTTTAATTGCAGATTATTGTGAGCTTTCTGTCTGACTATGATGTGTGCTGAGAACGAGCACTATTTTCCACATGTTTGTGTGAGCCCACCATGTGAGTCCACTACAGGGATTTGCGTCTCGCTGCTGCTGTTCACAACATGTCGGACCTCCTCCGGGCCAGCCGCTTTCTGCAGCTGCACTCGTTTTGCTCCCAAAACGTGTTCCAACTGCATGGAGAGAAGCCTGTCAAAGAAGAGACACGTTATCCTCAAAGCAGCCTCCAGTCAATGGCAAATGCTCTCTTATCACATATTTGTCACCGCAATTCCGTGGAGATTTAAGCTGTTACAGAAGGCTAAATTAGATTTGCTCCCCCTTCTCATTGTGCCGGTTCAGGTTTAGATTCTTGCTCGCTGTGTATATTATGGAGGAGATGTGATCGCTGCACTGAAATGATCGCAGTTTGATATACCCAACATAGCATTTGTTGCACAGATGAACGTGAATACTAAATACTGTCAAAGTATTGGTATACCCTGGACGGATCCTGATGAGAGAGGGCAGATGCGGCAGCCTCTTGCTGATGGAGACAGCGTCATAGAAAGATGGGCGGCTGCCAGCGCGAGCGACGCCATTGGCCAGCAGAGTGGCAAGGAGGACGGGAACAACGTGGCCGAATTGACCGGTTAACTCTAAGGCCAAGAGGGCCGGTGATAAGGTGTGTGTCACAGCCCCGGAGAATGCTGCTGCACCTACGCAATGACAACAGCGACACACATCAGGTCGAATCATGTACAGAGGTGCCTTGAGGTATGAGACCAATTTGTTAATCAAATGGAACACATTATAACTCATAGACGGTGTATGTATAACTCATGTATAATGTATAACTCATCCCAGCTGCCTTCGGGCAGTGGGCGGGGTACACCCTGAACCCGTTGTCAGGCAATCGCAAGACAATACATAGACGAGCAACCATCCGCGCTCACACTCACACCTAGGGACAATTTAGAGTGTTCAATCAGCCTGCCATGCATGTTTTTGGAATGTGGGAGGAAACCAGAGTACCCAGAGAAAACCCACGCAAGCACGGGGAGAACATGCAAACTCCACACAGGAAGGCTGGAGCTGGAATCGAACCCAGTACCTCTGCATTGTGAGGCCGGCGTGCTAACCAGTCGACCACAGTGTCGGCCAGGACTGTGAAATCTTAGATTTCTTTTAAATTGTTAAATTTATTTTAAATTGTTGATTTTCTTTTAAATTGCACCCTGCATTACAATTTGAATGTATTGTACTTGTTAAACCCTATAACGTTGTTGGTTTTGTTGTTGTTTGTTTTGTTTTTACCGGCAAGTGCATATCTCCCAGGATTAATAGAAGACCATTCCTGTGTGCGGGAGGAAATGTAAAGTATTCCTTCTGCAAGCAAACGACCCATAGCTGCCCCTAGAAATACAGAAAACAAAACAAAGATGAGTATTAACTAACAAACATCTGCACAAAATGATCCGACTTCCTGTCTATATTGCAACAACCAATGTTGAATATAAATACCCACACACCCCTGTTCACATGCATTTCTTCTACATATAAAAATTGAGACCAAGGTAAATGATTTCAAAACTTTTCACTACATTAATGTGTTGTAAAAAGAAAAGAATACTGCCCATACGTGGGTGAAAATAGAAGTTTACTGAATTATTATTTGGCCATCTATGAGTAGTTAACAAATGTTTAATACCATATGATTTCATGGGGGAAATCCATTTTATTAGTTGTTCTTAACTTTCTATTAAAGTGGATGGTGACTTTGCCACAATACAAAAATCGGATTTTGGGCCGACAACAGTTGAGAAAAACTTGTCTAAAAATTACGCCAAAACTCAAATGTCTGCATCCAAGAGGTATTTATTTTTTTCAGAGAGATAGAATTTCATTTCGATTTAAATCTAATGGAAAGTATGCCATTGGGTAGATCAGGGATAATCTCGAGTGCCCACTGTAAATCCCAATGCCATTTTGTTTCAATGACACACCACAGAAATGTTTTACCCCCTCACTCACCATAGATGAAGACTGGCATGAAGTACCCGGCTGGCAGAGGCAAAGTGCAGGCAAGCGCCGACATCCACAGCTGAGAGGCAACAACATAAAGGCAAGTCTCACCACAGGCCTCACGAATCCAATTCAATCTGGCTGCATTCATTCTGCAGCATCAATTTGACGCAAATAATGGTGGGTGTAAAGTGCAAAGGCTTATTATGGATGGACTGAAAAGAGGAAAAATGCATTTCGTTGCCAGTAAAAGGACAAAAATAAAGATCTAATAAAGTGAAAAAAGAAAAATGTGGTCTATTGAGAGAACAACATTGCGAGCGTAAATTGCGTTAAGATGAGGATTGTTGAACCCTTGTCAACCCTTCAGAAGAGGTTTAATAAACACTGAACTCTGTAGGAAAGAGCTGAATGCATTATCTTTGCCTTCACATGCTCGTCTTTCTCAGTAACGAAATGGCACATAAATACAAACACTTTACACAAAGTACAATGAAGCTAATCTCATAATAATAAAAATAATAATAATAATAATAATGATGATTTTATTCCTAGTTGTTTTAACAGACAACAAATCCTTTCAGAGCCAGGTTTAAGAAGACACTGCCGTTTCAAAGGTTGAGTAATCTTGAAACGGCTCATTGCCCTATGAAAATGTCAGTCGCTTAGTACAAGATATTAGGGCTAATTTTGTCTCCAGTACATTCGGTCCTCCGTTTGTACCTTCATAAGCAGAAAGACAGTCAGCGACAGGTAGACGGAATAGTCAGACGAGCCCCACTCTGTTTCCAGCTGCCACGAGGCATTGTGAGATTGAGACGTCCACGGTGTGTTTTCTAGTAAGGAGGTGAGCAGCTGCTTCATGGTGGACTGAATTTAACAGAAAAGAATAAGTTAGCCATTAGTGTTAAAAAAAAAAAAATCCCATTGTGGATAAAAGCTGGAGAAATATCTCATGGTGAACTCACACTAAGCCAGTGTTTCCCAAGCTTAATTGATGTGAGGCACATATTTACATTCGAAAAAATTTATAAATATTGAAATAATGATTTATGAACAAATCTACTTACTCCTATCGGCGACCTAGTATAAAATAATTTCATTATTCTGTTTGTCATTTACACATGATGGGTATGGACAGATGCAGCAAGATCCATTTGTAGTAAATATAATGATGATTTGGTGAAATTGGATAATAGCACGTCTGATGATCTCTCACTGCACAGTGGGTGGGAATCACTGCACTTGGCAATCTGTGCTGTGCTTGAGCCCACTCAAATCCTAAAGTCCGGTACACTTGGCTAGGGTCACCTCTCTGATGTGTACTCATGTTCGGTACACTTCCCACAAGAGAATGGCCATGGCCTACCATCACTGGCACGTTATACGATCGAAATCAGCGGAACAATTATGATGTCATGCATTTCTCCCAACACTTCCAATCACATATAACAAAATAACAAATTCCATTACTGGTGTAAATATAGCAGAATAATTGTGACTATTCAGATTGTTGCACTTGTCTACATCCTTTAATTCCCTAAAAAGAAGACAGGCTACTGACACCGAACGTTCCCAAAAATAAAACTTTTGGAATGTTGATATTTAATTTTAAGTGTCCTTGAATTTGTTCCTGTTTACTGAAAACAGAAGCAACTTGTATTTTATTTTCATTTTGTTCCCATAATGATTGATCGTAATTACAGGTATGTTCCCATTCATATTTACAGAAAACAGAAGCAAGGTTTTTTTTTTCTCCGATGTGGCCCGTGATGTAAACAAGTTTGACACCCCTGCCCTAAGTTCTAACCAGGAGTAGTTTTCTTGATGAAGACCCACCTTGGAAGCCATGTGTTGTCCCATGGAGAGAGGGAAGGTAAGAGATGCCAAAAAGAAGGCCACTACGGCAGAGTACAGTGCTTTCCTGCACAGAGAAGCATCACTATCATTTCAATTTCATTAGATTTTTCTTACGATTATGTTTGATTTTCATTGGTAGTTACCGTTAATTATTACTGGTACTACTCATCCATCCGATTGTAAAGATTGTAATTTTCGAACTATGTAAAGCACATTGAGTTACCTTGTGCTTGAATCGCGCTATATAAATAAAGCTGCCTTGGCTCCACCACTGTGTGTGTGTGTGTGTGTGTGTGTGTGTGTGTGTGTGCGTGTGTGCTCACTGTTTTTTCAGTATGTTGATGACCCCTGCGTTTGTGGTGATGAGCTCCAGCATGAGGCGATGCAGGGAGAGGTACAAGCAGCTGACAGCTCCACAGAGCCACCTGTTTCCAGCACACACACACACACACACACACACACACACACACACACACACACACACACACACACACACACACACACACAGTCATTAGCGGTCATGATGAGGCTAAGTGGAAGAACAACACAACAGCTCAGAGTTTCCACATGACCTAATGTGAATATGAATCAGTCAGATGTCTTCACTGGGAATGGAACTAAATTGGATATGAAGAGTCAGTCAGCATCAGCTCACCCCAGCAGAGCAAAGAGCAGAATCTCTGACGGGAGGAAGGGTAATTCCATGGGGAAATTGGTTTGAAACAACACCTGAAGAGTCTCTGAAGGGACAAAACAAATCAAATCTTCCCTCATTTAAGTTCAATTTGCTTTTCCTGAAATCTGAACCTGATATAAATTGCATCTAAAGTCATTAAAGTTTTTTTCTCATCCATTTAAATAATGGTGAATTATTCTGTGCCAAACAATTACTGGGCTTGTGCAAACAATCCTTGAGTGTGTGTGTGCAAACAGTATGTTTGTCAGGAAACAAAGATGACCTCAAACTGGCAGGGTACTACATGCTGAGTTAAAATATCTGAAATCAGACAGAATTTCGATGCCACTCCATCTCCGCTATAAATAGCTGTCTGGAAGCTTTTGGAACCTCGCCGTATTGATTTGTGCCCTCTAAGCTGGAAGAGCATTAAGAAGGCTCCGTTGCTGATGTTGAGCGATAAGACTCAGTGTGAGTCCTGTCGGTCCTAGATGTGAAAGTGCCTTGAGAAAATCTCTTGAAAAGAAGATAAACACTGAAAACTGAATGTTAAAAGGCTGTAACACCCCTGCAAATGGGCTTTATTGAAAGTGAAAAATGGTATAGGCTTATAAGTTGACTGCATGTATAGTCGCTAAATGGGCCTGCATGTCATAGAACATTTCTTCTTTTAGTTTTGTTATTAGCATTATAGGAGTTGAGCAGCTTAATAGACCATCAATTCTAAATTTGAAGGAAAATGTAGAAATTGGAACTTTGTCTTTTGTTTTTTTGTTTTTGTTTTTGTTTTTTTACTTATCAGTTGTGATGGGCTAAAGACAAAGATGGCAATGATTAACCCGCACCACATTTTTTGAACTATTGTGCATCATTTTTGCACTGATAAGATAATTTGCCTTGAAAGCTGGACTTAAAAATGCTTTTCAACATTTTAATGAACATTTGAGAAATGCCTTTCACACATTCTTATTATTTCTCACTGGGAGAATTTAAATTAAATTCCAGAATAACAGACGGAGGAACAGCCTCCAGCGCAGTGATTGCGAGCAACTTAGTGTACTTACGCCACAAAATCAACTTCAATATGCAGCCACACATTTTCTATGCTGTTTATCTTCATTAGGCTGGCTGGGAAGCTAAAGTCTGTCCCTTGGTTAGCTATAATTAAAAAATTTCAAAGCATTTTTGAAATCTAATTTTCCACAATACATCTTATAAATACATCAAATGTTCCCATCTTTTAATGTTGTGGGTCAACCATGTTTTACCTTCATCGCCACTCCAAACAGACAACAAGCGGAAGGTCAATGCGCCGCAGGCCACTGAGAAGAAACATGGGAAGTAGTTCTGCATGTCGAAGTGAGAGGACATCACCTCCATGCTGAAGAGCACACCTATGGGGACGACAAACAAAACAAACATTGACCTTTCCGAGCCTCATTAGCTTAGCTGGCTAAGCTTGCTAATAGCTAGAGCTAACATTAATTGACAAGCAACACAAGTACTGTACATTGCTTACCTTGCACCAGACAAAGGTGATCTTTTTTTTCAACCAACACATACAGGACAAATAAACATAGTGTACAAACATATGTGTCATTTAAGCCATATAAATGTGTGTGTGTGTGTGTGTGTGTGTGTGTGTGTGTGTGTGTGTGTGTGTGTGTGTGTGTGTGTGTGTGTGTGTGTATACACACGTAAGATGGAGGAGTATGACAAATTTGCATGAGCTCAGTGGAACTGTCGAGACATGCAAGTGAGAGGATGATAAAGACGAGGATAGAGTGAAAATGATGGAGGACCAAAAGAAGAGCACAATTTAGGAAGATTTTTTTTTCTTACCACTAACAGGTGCTCCAAAGCAGCTCGCGACACCGACTGCAGTGGCTACAACTAACATGTCTCCATCTGCTTTCTTACAGACAACATAAAACAAGGACAATGAGCTGATTTATTCAAACCACCATTAACCTGCACTAAGTGGACGGCATGCCTCCGCTAGGGGGTATCAAGCAACTTAAAGAAAGATGCAACAGCCTGATTATAAAAAAAAAAAACTCGAGAAAATCTAAGCTGCAAGTAGCAATGAGTGGGCCCTTGTACCCCACATTTGTCACGGTTGTGTCGAGTGTATGACTTTATCGAGTGTATGACTTTATGTGAATATACTGTAGCCTATGATGTGAGTTTGAAAATTGTCAGAGGCGTCACAATGGCAGCAATACATTTCTGCCAGTAGGGCCATCTATGAATCTCTGAAGGCCAGGTTCTTTTTAACACATAAGACAAGTTTAGCCAACACACAAGACAAGTTGGGTCAAGCTCTGACCTGACAGAATTCACTTATTATTTGGGTTTGGTATTTTATGATGAGTCAAACATTGCTCCGAGCTTCAGCTTCCATTTGCAGTGAGGAAAAATGCACGGTGAAAATCAGTGTACAAAATGAACTCTAAAAGTGGCAATAACCAAAATGGCAGACATTCTGAGCTTGGTTTACATTGGTTTGGTCTTGGTGATCTACTAACGGTGCAAAAAATGTAAATATTTTGAAAAAGTGCAGAACGGCTCATTCATGGGCACATTTTCAGAATTAACTAAAGAATCACCAGGAGTGCCTTGACTGGTGAATTTAAATTGTTTTGTGACATCATAATTTAAAAAAATTAATATCTGAAATGGTTAAAAAAAATCCTCAAATTTTGTAGAAGATAAGGAATATATCACTGTGATTATTCTTATTTATATGTCTCCATGTGTTGCTCCACCATTTTTTTCAAATGAATTGAGTGGCATTTGAAAACAAATGGTGGAGCTGTAAGGGTTCAAAAACTGCAACAAGCAATGCTAACCGTTAGCAAGTCAATGGCGTAACAGTAGATGTACTGTTAATTCTAGTGACATTGGATTGTACAGTTGAGGTTTTTTTTTGGTTTGTTTTGTTTTTTCGTCAAAGGCTTCTTCACAGTACTGTACCTGCTTTGTGGCTTGTAGTAGTGAGCAGAGCTTGCTCAAGTAGCCAGCCATCATGGTGCAAAGATGCACAAATGGACCCTGATGTTCGGAAATAAACACCTACAATAAATAACAGAGAATTTTGAAGACGCATATGCAATGGAAGAAACCTCTCACCACTTTTCCCAGGAAAATTGTGCTCCCAGCTGCCAGTGTACAAATGAGACCCAGGAACTTGATGAACATGTTGGTGAGGGATAAGTAATGCGGAAGTTGTATGCCCGTCAGCATGGTCCTCACCTCTGGTATTCCGGAGCCTGACAACAAAAAAAAATGAATAAAGAAATTACAAGACTTAACCATCAACTCGGGGGCATACTTGCATTGTACCTCAGTGTAATGAAGCATTTCTCTGGGATACTTTCTCTCAGCACTTACTAAAAGTATCCATCGAGATTATTTTTTTTTCGGGGTTAATTAGGTATTAAATTAAAAATGTGACCAAACTTCATACTTATATTCTAGCTGGAAAAAAATGAATTTTTTTGTTTGTTTGTTTGTTTGTCAAAATAAAAGACATATGAAGCCAACCAAAAAAAAATAATCAAATGTAATCTAATTTGTTAAATTGTCCATCAATTACTACTTTTTAATAGGCTGTATGAGAACTAAAATAAAAGCAATCTCCATTACATAACTGAAACATGAAAGTGAAAGGCGGTTATAAATAAAATGTATTATTATTATTATTATTATTATTATAAGTTATTTCTTAAACATAATAATTCAATATAATATGACACAGTTTAATTTGTGGACAATTTTATTGATTATTTCATTGTCAGTAATTCATTCCTTCCACATACAAGATATGACTGTATCCATACTTATGTAATACACATGAGAGAGAGAGGGAGAGGGAGAGAGAGAGAGAGAGAGAGAGAGAGAGAGAGAGAGAGAGAGAGAGAGAGAGACTCCAACAGGAGGTTCCAAACTTGAGTTTTAAAATTGAGAGCTACTTCCTGAGTAATGATGAATGTAAAGTATACCCACTTTTGAAATGACAAGTTTGCTCAAACTACCTTTAATTATACATTATTAATATGATATTCATATATGTGAGACACTTATCAGCTGACCTTAGCATAATATTTATGAAGGTTATGAGTCAAGGTTTTTCTGAAACCAATGCTTGCATACTCCACTCTGTATTTTGTGTGATGTCTTATTGGTCCCGGCTAATGAGTGTTTGATAAATGGTAACATAGAGATCAGAAAGTCAATTTTTTTGGACCTTAATGTCTATCCTGTGTTTTCGCCTTGATTTGACTGTTTGATTGTATGGCATCCTTGTGCACTTTGAAAGGTGACTTCACATACAGTAGATTTCGTTATCATTGCCATGTTCCTGTGCGGTGGCAGACAGACCTGTGGAGAAGGGACAGATGTTGTGGCAGAGTGAAGCTGAGATAGCACAGAGGCATGCTGGGTAAAGAGTCCAACAGAAGAACTGGAGCAGACTGCTACCCTCCAGCTGGCTATAAAGCCACTGGTGAGCTACAAAAACACACACACAAAATCTCAATCATTCCACTCTTACTGGAGATGTCTGTGAAAAAACATCGGGGTGAAATTGTTGGCCTTTGAACATTATTTGGTAGGATTTATTCCAAAAAGCGCTTTGATAGTTTATAATGAGCTTCTGTCCCCCCAATTACACATTTGCACGAATGCTGATGTCGCTTGAAAATAGCGCAAGCCGTGCAAGGACAACATAGTGTTTGTTTTATGCCTGTTTTGTACAATATCCTATTAAACTTTGCTGCAGAGGGTAATGTCGTCATCTCCATGTGTGTTTGTGTACCTGTCAGGAGCTTGCTTACACTCAGGTCCATAAGAAAGCTGAGAATGGCGCTTAACATTCCAAGAGCAGCATAGACGTACCATTCCATCCCGCACACTCTTTCCAGGCAATATTTTAGCTTCAAAAGACAACCTATGGGATAATAAATGGGTAACAAATATGAATTCAAGTCGATAAATAAAATACAAGAAAGAACATATTAATTGAAACAACATAGGAATTATACATTAAAGGTGCCATATTTGCCTTTTATTTTTCAAGCATGTCCTTGCTTTCTTGTATGTTGAGGATTTCAAAAGTGTTGCCCTCTAGCCTTGAAGCAAAATTACCCATCATGGCCTTGTATGATATATGCTCCCCAATTGTGAAGTTGCTGCTTATGATACTGGGGCCAAGTAGGTTTTAATGAACTTGATCTTTCAAAGGTTCTCTCTGCTTGAGCCACAGTGACAAGAAATAAGAACAATTTGAAGACTAATCTAGAGGGCAAGTCTACCGTAGAGTGCGAATTGGTAATCATTGGCATTGTAAAGGGCTTCACTGGCCTGTAGACGAATTGGCGACCTAAGAGAGGCTCAAGTCTCATGTCGCTATGACACCTCCTGGAGACGATCCGGATTGCTCGGGAGTGAATTGTAAACGTCAGATTTTGAACAGTGACCTTTTCGAGCCTTTTTCCAAGCCTCAAACATGTCTCGGAGACTACGGTAACCTTTTCAACCTTTTGGAAACCAAGGAGTCTAAGGACCTATCGCGGGGATGTCGCTGCCAAGTCTATGTAACAACGCCTGACCCACTAGACTAGACCATGTGAAGGTGAGACTATGTGACTGAGCCCACGCTGACCTCTGGGCAAATTAGTCTCACCGAGACACCGCCCCGGTGAGAGCGCAAGCAATACTTTGGTTTCGTGAGTGGTCTGAGTCGCTCAACTGATCAGCCCTGCCGACGCCTCCGCAACTGAGTTGGGTCCATTAAGCATTGTTGAATCACCATTTGTTTCCCTATCTGCTTCCAAGAGTGTCCCTCCTCGCTTGCCATCCTGTAATCGTGCGGTGGCAAACCGCAGCGGACATGTTCAACTCTGGTTGTTTGTATTTAGAAACACATCTTTTATACACAAGTCAGGCCATTACACAATAGAAAACCATTTCTGGAGCATTTTCTTTTTCAGCGGCATGTTGCCGATCCCTCAAGCCATGTGTGTGATTTTTTTTTTTTTATGCATGTCTTTTTGTATCCATCCATATTCTTCAACGTATCTGGGGTCAGATCACAGGAGCAGCACCCAAAGTCGAGTCTCAGACTTCCCCCTCCGCATCCTCTTTGCCCAACTTTTCTGGGGAGAACTCAAGGCATTCCACAGCTATTGCCCCAAGTCAAGATAATGGATGGATGCTAGGCATACTACTGTGGTAAAGCCCCCACTGTAACCAAGTCCAGCAGTGAAAGAGAAGCTTGACCTCAATTATCTTAAGACCGTAAATGTCAAATGCACTAGGGCACACCTGTGATGAATTGATGGCATCTGCAACGATCAGAGTCAAATGTCAGACCTTTGACAAACCCCCGGGAGCGTCTGTATGGTTTCTGTGGATCAGCGGGGAGCAGCGTCCAACTCTGGAACGTCTCTTCGTTTTGAATTCTTCTCTCATGTATGCGGCTGCCTCCATCACTTTCATTCTGACGAGACTCATCCAGGAGCCTCATGGTGCCTTCAAATGTTTGTTAATTCAAACAAGCACGAGCTAAAAATCCGTGGATAGAACTGCTTGGTTATCGAAGCTAAAATCCAAACTGAAGAGACTTACCCGAATAGTGTTGTACGATGTGTTGGCAAGGTCGTGTGTGTGTGCAGGTACTGCTGTGGGCATTAAGGCAATTGAGCAGTCACACTTGGGAGAGCTGCTAAGTTTAACTCTTTGGAGAAAGATTGCTACTTGCCTTTAATATGACATAACCAGGGAATGATTTACTAAAAGGAAGAACAAAACACAGTCTTACAGTCCTGATGTCAAACAGGGCATGAAAATAAATGTGACCAAAAGTTTATTCTCTATCAAAACATGCACTAAAAGTGAATTTTGTGGCATCGAAATGGTAAGTCCATGTTCATTAATAAATACCCTACCTTTGACCTTACACAATGATTACCTCCACTTGAGACCTGAGTCTCAAAGTCAGGCTCCCTTTAAGAGGTGTGCAAACATATTTATGTCTTTCATGACCGCTGTTACCCATACACATGCCCACACACCTACACTTGCCTTGAGGCAAGAATGCAGACACTGTTTTACTTTTCTCAATTCCACCTCCCCTTCACACTTCCAATTAGCACTTATGCTATTTTAGAGATTTGAGATCTGCCAGCATTAGTCGCGCACGCAAACACACACACACACACACACACACACACACACACACACACACACACACACACACACACGCACACACGTACACGCGCGCACACACACGCACACACACACAGAAAGGTAGAAACGTACAAAACATGTTTCTATGGAGACACTCCACCAAAGGTAAAAGCTGAGTCGATTTTTGATTAACAATAATTGAACACAAGGGCAGGATGTGCATTAGACACCCGATTTTTGTTTTCCTCAGACCAACAAATCAGAGGACAGAAAAATGCTGGCCCTCAGAAACTAATCTGGAATCTGATTTGTGAAAGAAACATTCCAGTTATTAATATAATTTGATTTACATGGCCCACGAGCATGACTAATTCTAAAGGCTCTTGGTTGATTCAAGAGACATGGTAGCACACAGAAGCTGGACTCTGTTTGGACAAAAAAAAAACCAAAACAAAACAAAAAAAACTAACATCCTAATCCCTGGTAATTCAGGCACAGAGGCACTCCCTATGCGCAGGTAAAGCACAGTTCGTTAGGTATTATCATCTGTGGGGGCACCATCGTCCACCGGGTGGCCTAATTTGCGCGAAAGGACGCATTTCGACATCAGAGTACGAACGTCATGCATGAACACTTCATCGTGCACTTGACATGTTCAAATATCCATCACTACCCCACCCTCATTCCATATTAATTTGACATGTTTCTATTTTTGGCACGGTGAGCGACTATTTAGCACGTCAGCCTCGCAGTGCAGAGGTGCAGGGTTCAATTCCGGCTCCGGCCTTCCTGTGTGGAGTTTGCATGCTCTCCCCATGCCTGTGTGGGTTTTCTCCGGGTACACCCGCTTCCTCCCACATTCCAAAAACATGTGTGGCAGGTTAATGCAACACTCTATTTTGTCCCTAGGTGTGATTGTAAGCGTGAATGGTTGTTTTTCTGTGTGTGCCCTGTGATAGGCTGGCCACCAGTTCAGGGTGTCCCCCGCCTCCTGCCTGAAGACAGCTGGGATAGGCTCCAGCACGCCCGTGACCCCTGTGAGCATAAGCAGATCGGAAAATGAATGGATGGATGGATGCATTGATGGATGGATGGATTTTTCTATTTTATTGAAATATTTAATGAATGATCATTTAAAATAATACCATTAAAAACGTTTATGAATTATAAAATGTCCAGTCCTTTATTTGTACAACAGCCAAGAAATGAACAGACTGAAGTGTCCAGAAAAATAAATACATCTAATCGCAGCTCTGAAGGTCAGCGAGGCTTGAACAAAGACACACATCCTGTCACTTGGAACTCATGAACATACAAATAAAATAAATGAACATGTAACATGATAAGACCTTCCTTGCTTCCACCATTTATGGTGATGGGCTGTGTTTTCCTGTCTGCCGCCCTTATGTAACACACAGCAGCTGAAACGGACACACAATCTGTTCGGAATGTACACAAACAAACGCACAGCACAGATTCAATGTCACTGCTGAGCCAGGCAGGATTACTCGATCACATTCATTCTTTTAAGTACATTACTTTTCATTCTTTCAACTAACACATCCCATCTAGTCACTCCAATTTCTTGTAGCTGTAATATGTGGTCAGTTTCGGCTTTCTTTCTGACAGTTGACCACAGTTATTTCTGTTGATGCTGGCTCCTTTCTTGCCTATTTGCATCGACAAGTGTAGCATCGAGTCATTGGCCATAACTTTACGTACACGTGCACATAATTTTAAATCTGAATGGACTAAAAACTAAGCTTTGGCAGAGACGATAGCGTTGTGTCATTGTCTTTGGCCAAAGAAATGGCCACTTTGAGGACTTTCCCATAGTCAAAATGGGTATTATCTCAAATACTGTATACAGTACTTGCAAGTCGGGTCACTCATATCTCACTGCACCACTGTAATAGCTTTTATTTCCATAATTGCAAATTTTCCTGGGAACACTGCACATTGTATTCCAAAACATAACATGATGTTCAATTGCAGAAAGTGAAGGAAAAGTAACACACAGTTGGAAGCAAATATAGTTGCAGGGTGCATTTTTCTTTTTTAAAAAAAAAGCTAATTTTACAGTCGTCAGTGGAAAAAAAACTTCCTGTCAGTCACTAAACTAGTTGCCTGAACTGCAATTTACATCTGCTTCACATGTGCATTGAACAGCCCACTGCAATTATTCCCAACGAATGTACTCAACATTTGTGAACATGCAAGGGCTTGTGGTGTACCAACAATGTAAACGGCTCGTCATTGAAGTCTAATGGGTGTAACAACATATATCAAAGACATTAACAAAGCCACAAAGTTGAATTTGAATGTTGTGGATGTCATCAGCCAGACGTCATGAATTGCAGAGTATTAATAGACACTAAGCGTGACACCGCTAAGTCCCCGACACCCGGACAGCTTTGTTTTCCAGCGCATTCTTTCCATCTTTGTTTGGCTCCCAACTTTGCTTTGGAGATAAAATATTTTCCAACCTACTCAGAGCTTAGTTGGTAGGTCACTTCTGTGTCAATAAGAAAGTAATCAAGTTAAAAAAAAAAAAAATTTATTCCTTAGGTGGAATTTTGTAAGTATTAAGTATGGTGGTGTCAGCACCTTGTTCGTGATGGCATCTTTTCATTGGCCTCTATGGAACATGAGCACCACAAATTCTGCCTAGCGACAACTGATGTGACCTGGAAAGAAAATATGAACAATTCTGTCCATGTACGACTGTACATCACTGCATCTATTAGATACATATGTAACAACAATGTCATTGCTCTCAGGAATTTCGTTAATGTGCTGCAGTTTCCTGGGAATGTAGCTTCCTAAGGGAATTATTCGATTCATTGTTCTGGTACAAAAATTGCACTCCTGAGTACATTGGATAGGATACAGCACGGGTGGCCATATAGAGGAGCGTAAACAGAACAGCTCACGTCATTGCGAAGACACACACAACAAACCAACGCTTACACGAGCACAGCAACATGATCTTATCATGTCAAGCCGCATAATTGGTCGCAGCTTTACAGTCAAGTCATTCATGAACTGGTGCTTATTCCCTGTACATGATTTAGGAATATATCCATTTAAAAGTGATACTTTACAAATTTTGCCATTTTCAGCAGGAACAAACTAATATTTTGTGAATAATGAATTATATAATATATATAATCACGACATAACAATTTTTCATGTACAATAAGCACCTTTGAAAGGGTACTTTGCCATTTGCTGTCGACTGAAAATGACATCACCTGTTCTCAGGGGTCAGGTAACAACCAATCGGGGGTCATGTGTTTTCAGTTGACAGGAAGTGGCAAAATGTGTTTTAAAAAATGCTAATTGGACATGAAAAATAATGAAGCTATCAAATTCATTCTCGACGAAATATGAACTTTTTAGAACGAATGAATGAAGGATGTCATTACTGAAAGTCCAATATTATGGAGTGTGATACAGTATTTGCTCATTGAAATCCACATCACAACAACTTCTTATTTCTTGGGGGGGAAAGCTGGAAAGGATTTATCGCATTTCAGATCAATTCAGTGTGAAAATATTTATTTGAGCTGCAAGTGTTCTGAGCATTGAAGAAATTAAACTTGTATCTCAAGGCTGCACTGGACAGGTAATAAAAACAATCAGTGTTTCTCTCTCTGCCTTTGTAATTCCCACAATAATGCTTGCAGGCAACGAACCAGATCATATGTTCGGTTGGCTACCAATATGTTCGCATACATTTAGATTTCTTTTTTGAAACAATGTGAAACCTCTGAAGTCAAAGTTCACAATTAATGAGCCTGAAGTGGCTCGTGTTGAATAGCCCTGTAGTTGGGTGATGCAGCACAGTACACACACACACACACACACACACACACACACACACACACACACACACACACACAGAGCGAGATAGAGAAAGAGGCAGAGAGAGAAAGAGGCAGAGAAAGAGAGAGAGAGAGAGAGAGAGAGAGAGAGAGAGAGAGAGAGAGAGAGAGAGAGAGAGAGAGAGAGAGAGAGAGAGAGAATCTATTTCAGGGATGGTGAGGCAGGAATGACAACTGTTCACATACGCACACACAACTTCACTCGCAGCCGGTCTCGATTAACTTGTCCAAGCACAGATCCTTCCCAGTCGCTCAGTGCCGTGTGCTGATAAAAATAGCCCATTATCACACACGTGCATACCTCCTGTCCACAAAAGGACTGGCACTGCTTATATGGGGTATAAGGGGGTGGGGAGTGGTCGCTAAAGAGTACCAATATAACAGGATGTATTGACCTCATCAAACACAAATTACGATTGATTATGAGAAGATAAAAGTAGAGACCAAAGACATAAAGTTTTGCCTTGTCGC